TTTTCTACATTATTATTTGAAACAGTTGATATGAAGTTCTCATTATCAAGTACACAAAACAATTAAAACTCAATACTATTTAGTCATATATCAACTCTGAAACAAACTCTCATCATCCATGTTGATACCTATAATCAACAAATGCACTAATCTTGTATATGTGGGTGGTATAATGGAAAACGGCTCGGAATGAGAAGTTGGAGAGGTGAGTTCGAATTTCAGTCGGGTTTATTGCATTGTCACTTTCAAGAATCTCGGCAAAAATGTTAGAAATAAATTTCTTACAACATTGCGCTTACATATTATGTATATCTTATTTTGTGCATATATGTAACCGTGTTTATTACTTAATACGTTATGCCTTAAAACCTGTATTTAATATATTTTATATTTCTTTATACTTTTTCTATAGGATTCGAAAATGACGTCAAGACAATGCAAAACGATCCAAATAGATTCTGCTACATTCGTGGCGAATTAACATTTGCTAAAGAAAAGCGCAGCATTACAACTCATATCAAGAAATTGTACAAGGCGTAATTTCATTGTGACAGAGGAGACCAAGACAAGCCATGGGCTTCTCATGTCTTGCCTTACATGTGTGAAGACAGTGAGCACATGGTTTGCAAGAAAAAATGTTCACATGAAGTTTGGTGTGCCAATGATTTGAGAGATCATTCTAATGATTGCTATTTCTGTCAGCAGGACTATACGGGCTGTACTACGGCAAAGAAAAAGAAACACATTGTTTACCCAAATTTGCAATCAACAATGCGCCCAATTGTGCCCTCAAAAGATTTGCCTGTGCCAAAACACCTAGATCAAGAAATGTGGAGTTCAAGCAGTAGAGATGAACATTCCAGTGATGAAACAGTAGAACTTAATGATCTACAAAGCATGAATAAACCAATACTAATTTCTCAAGAGGCTCTAAATAACTTATGTAGAAATCTTTATTTAATCGAAGACAAAAGTGAGCTTCTAACATTAAGCCTTAAAGAACGTAATCTTCTTCGAAAAGGAGTTAAGATTACATTGTACAGAAAACGTTCACAAAAACTGCATGTATTGTTTACCATGAAATATGACTTATGCTTCTGTAATGACATCGCTAAACTTTTTGAACAACCAGAAATACCATATGATAACACCAACTGGCGACTTTTCTTAGATGCACCCAAAGAAAGCATCAAAGCTGTTTTGCTATAAAACGGCAACACTCTGCCATCTCTTCCTATAGCTTATAGCGCAACCATAAAAGAATCATATGAAAATTTATAAAAGAATTCTAACGAGCGTAGAATATAATAACCATAAATGACATATTTGTGCAGATTTCAAGATTTTAGCCATGCTTACCGGCCTTCGGCCTGGCTATACTAAATTTTGCTGTTTCCTATGCTTATGAGACTCCAGAGCAAGAACTGAACATTATTTATCCAAGCATTGGCCCGGTAGAGATGAAATTGAGCAAGGGAAATATATTATTAAGCACAAACCACTTCTGCAAATGGATAAAATCCATTTGCCACCTTTGCATATTAACCATGGTTTGTTTAAACAATTTGTGAAAGCCCTGGACAAGGATACCCTCGCATTTGCATATCTTGCAGAAAAGTTCCTTTCCTTACGTCAAGCTTAAATAAAAGGTATCTTCATAGGTCTTCAAATTCGAAAAATTGTACTAGATGAAACTTTCAACACACATCTCAAGAAAAAAAGAAAAAATTGCCTTTTAGTCATTCAAGAACGTTTGTGATAAGTTCCTTGGAGTATATTGTTCGGAAGACTATGTGCAAGTTATAAATGATCTAATACGTCATTATCATGATATGGGGTGTAACATGTCTCTTAAAGTTCATGTACTCCACTCTCATTTGGACTTCTTTGCGGAAAATCTTGATGATGTGAGTGATGAACATGGCGAGAGTTTCCATCAGTGATGGAGAAACGTTTTAAAGGAAAATGGAAACCTGGCATGTTGGCAGACTACTGCTGGAATATAAAAAGTGAGAATGACACTGTACACAAGTGGGTTAAGAGGATAAATGTTGTATAAACTGAAAGTTCTTTGTTTTTATTCATAACCAATAATAATAAATTATGATTTAAAGTACATGAAAACGGTGCATAATCAAAGGAAAAAAAAGGTCAGATTAATATCAATATATTTTTCTAACATTTAAACAGGTCTTATGTGGCATGTACTTTTTTAACTAGAAATTTATTGCTCAGTGAAATTATTCTTACCAGATAAAAAAATAATTCGGTTTTAAATATCATACTAAAGATTGCTAAGCCGTACAAATGAATGTAACAATGAAAATCTTGGTCATAACTCTCTCTCTCTCTCTCTCTCTCTATATATATATATATATATATATATATATATATATATATATATATATATATAAAATTTACGTGTTGTTATAGTAGAAATATATATAAAACGTACAAGTTATTATAGCTGATTATATATATATATATATATATATATATATATATATATATATATATATATATATATATATATATATATTTTAGGCAGAAATTATTCGTTTATACGTTTCATTAAAAACGACAGACAAGGTACTACGATTAAGTTTTTTATTTAATTTTTCTTGTGTTCAAACAAGAGCTTTCTTTTTTTGACAAAGAGTGTGCAAGAACTGTCCAAATGTTTTATATTTCAGAGTTCTTTCGGCTATACGTTTAGCAATTATCAAGGATGATTCGATTTTTCAGCTTAATTTAGTTTGTGCATTCTGTATATGTCTTAGTGTGTGGTAGGGATGTTTTTAATTTCCGAATACGGTTATCACATTGTGGCTTTGTTCGTAGTTAATATTGTTAAGAGATATGAGATGTCTTTTTCTTTTTTATTATTACAGCTTGCATTATTTTTAGTCTTTTTTTTAATGGGTCTGAAATCTGTATTTAACTCAGATAAATAGAGATAATGATCCCAGACCCCATATATATATATATATATATATATATATATATATATATATATATATATATATAAATTAACTGATTTTAAATGTATCTATCTATCTATCTATCTATATATATATATATATATATATATATATATTAAAGCCATTTATCCACTGTGCCATGTGTCCTTGAGGACACATGGCACAGAATTAACAGGAGATAGCTGGTAACTGACATCCATTAAACATGGTACGTGGAACTAGAACAGTCTACCCCAGTGCGCGAAATAAAGAGTTCACTTCGACATTCCAACCACTTGAAGAATGCCGGAGCGTACAACGGCCGAAACGTTGTAATAAAGATGAGGACAATAGTCCGAATAATGTAAATAGTGTTATTTAGCTACCATTCCCCTGAAGAGGTAATACTGAAACACAAAAAGCTCTTGTGTAGCGATTTCAACATGTTTTTTTTTTAATATTTAAAATAAAATGATAATTACACACACACACACACACACACACACACACATATATATATATATATATATATATATATATATATATATATATATATATATATATCCCTTACCATTATCCATCTTGTACTATAATGAATGCAATTATTGCATGTGTCATTGTGATTGTTTGTAGAAATGTTGTTATTATCTCTTACCTTTTCTCTCAGAATTTAAAATAAAAATTAACTCGTTGCCATTAAAATTAGTCCTTTAACCCTCAAAAGCCTAGAGGCCTGACCGCTGGGGAATACAAGGTGTTGTAAGATTGGATGTGCGGGTGTTTTAATAGACACAAACTCTTAAATTAACTCTTTTTAATCGGCAGGAGGAGTTGCAATCCTAGTGGCGTTCGTAATATTCACTTCCAAATGAATCCCCCTCTAAATTATATGTTAATTAGTCAAACTTGCATCCGAAATCTTTATTATCTCTCCACAAAAATAATATTTGCAATCTAAAAGTACTTTCTGGCTTTAAATAATCTGCAAAGGTTTGATTACCCGTAGTAAACGAATCAATCATTCTAACCCTGAATAAGAGAATATATTTAATTAACCGAATGCCAATTGCGTATGTGTTTCAGATTAACGATTAAGATCTTGTAAAATAGAATCGACATGACGTTATCAAATTCCAGCTGAATTTGCTTTTAATTCGTAGAATTATCATTTAGAATGTCATCAATATATATTTTTCTATCGCCCTATAAATGAATTATATAAATTGAGCAGAATCATTACTTCAACTATTTTCACCGTCCGTAAATTTTAGACAACAAAAGAATTTTTTCGTTCACGATATATATTCTGTATCAAGAAACAGCGATCACTCAAGAATGGTCGTCTAAACCTTTTTCAAGACAAAAGGTTAATAGTTCTACCTCGAAGATGTAAGACCTTTATACGCTACTAGCGGCTTTGGTAGACTTTGTGAGAAGGAAAATATTTCATTTTTTTTTTAAACTGAGTTAAATCATACACATTTTTTAAACTTGCGCAAAACACAATTTCTTTTTCATGTATCCCCTTAGTACGACTAAGATGAGCAAAGCTCAGTAAATATCACAATCAACCCAAATATATAGATCCATTCTACCACTAGAAATCAAAAGCAAAAATCAAGAGATCTCGATATCTATCGGAGAGATGTAATTTACATTTTTATGATTGCATTATTCTAGAATTTTAACAGATCGTCAGATAGCTATTAATATCAATACCTGAGCATAAATAGTTATTAATTTAACAAAATAGTAATTAATGTACAATATTATCCATAACTATGTGTAGAAGAATGTCGTTTCTAATAAAAGTTAAAACATAACAAAAATACATTAAAAAAATGCTTATATTGTCGAAAATTCCTTTTACCACATTATAGATATATGTTCTAAGTTATAATGCTTATTACCTAAACAATAAAAATACTGAATATTTTTTAAACATTAAAGTATATTTTATTACATATCTCTAATAGCTGTCGTGATCTGTAAACGAAACGAATATAGTTGCAAGAAATAATGGAGAATCAAAGTCTGTATTTACCTAAAAGCATCGATCATGTTAAATGAATTAAACAGAATGTCAAAGATGTGTGTTATTGCCCAGCGTATATCAGCCTTTGTGGGTTTCTTCGTTTTCTCTTTGCAAGCTTTTCCTTCCGGTAACACATTCCTTTCCCTTCCGCTTGCGGCATTTCCTTGACCTGTGTCCAATTCCATGTCTTCACTGTCCGAGATATTCTTCTGCTTTCTTTTCTCTCTTTTACAAATTCTGACCTTTTCATCTCTGCCATCATAACTAAGTTTGGACAATGACACTGATAGCACTTCTAGAAAGAGAGAGAGAGGGACATTTCCGACCGAAGTTCCAGATAAAGGACCTTTGCAAAACTGCAGAGAATTTCTTAAAGTACCAGTTAGATCTTAGGAAGCAACGATAAAAAATGGATTTTTTTTCTAATTGAGAAATTCTATCAATGCATGCATTGCTGTGTTCGGGTTCATTCCGTTTAAAGCAAGTTTTATTGGTTTTTATCATCTCTAAACACCGTTGAGAATGATGGAAATCAAAGAAACTAAAGCATTTGAAATTCTGTTCATTTTCGACTAACATTATGGAAGTAAAAATCATATTGCAAAATAATTCCAATGGCTCAATCTCTTCCAGTTTCAAAATGTCAATAACAACAGGGTACATTTCTCATTCTACTGCTCATAAGTCTTCGTCAATTATTTTCATTTTTATTTTCTTTCTAATAATTTCCGGAAAGTAATTAAAATTGTCAAATCGTGTGGACAAAAAATATACTAGAAGGTTATTTATGATTCAATCTGGATCGCTTTCTTTTAAAATACTCTTAGACGCAACATTCTTGGCTCTATACGATCGATGATCAGTCTGAAGAAGAACATGTTAGTATCAGATCAGTGTAACGCTCATGGTTCTTCACAACTTCTGGTAATTTCTAACACTGTAATGTTTGACATTTTGTTATCTCACTATCTGTCAACCATTTAAACAAACTCATTAGCCAGATTATGAGTTCTTCTTCTTCATTTTCTATATACTGTGGATCACTTCATTTCGTCAGCGATTATGGTTCTCCACAATTTCCAGTCTTTTGTTGCTCTTAGTAAATTTTGTCTTTTTGCTATCTCTCCTAATCCTTGTCCTGCCAACCATTTACAAAAGCTCGTTAATCAAATTTTGAGCTATTCTTCTTATTATTCTATATTCCATGGGTCCCTTCATTTTAACAGCGATTATGGTTCTCCACAATTTCCAGTCCTTTTTTGCCTTTAGCAAATTGTGTATTTTTGCTATCTCTCCTAATTCCTGTTCTGACAAATATTTATAAAAACTCGTTAGCCAGATTAAAAGCCCTCCTTTTTCTTCTTTTTCTATATAGCCAGGGACACTTCATTTCGTCAGCGATTATAGTTCTCCACAATTCCCCGTCCTTTGTAGCTCTTAGCAAATTTTGTCTTTTTGCTATCTCTCATAATCCCTGTTCTGCCAACCATTTACAAAAGCTTGTTAGCCAGATTATGAGCTCTTCTTCTTCTTTTTCTATATACCGTGGGTCCATTCATTTCATCAGCGATCATGGTTCTCCACAATTTCCCGTCCTTTGTAGCTCTTAGCAAATTTTGTCATTTTGCCATCTCTCCTAATCACTGCTCTGTAAACCATTTAAACAAACTAGTTAGCTAGGTTATTCGTTGTTTTTCTCTGTCATCTATGCTTTCAATGTTTTCTTCCAATATCAAATTCTCTAAGCATTTTTAATCTCAGGATGTACCCTACATTTTACAATTCGTTTTATACGATTCTAAATATGTCATTTTTTATCGATTTTTCCTCATATTTTCTCATTGCAGACATGTTCAATCCATGTAACTATATTTTTGTTGACTCAAGTCTCTTCATCTCTGATGAGATTGTCCAATGTTAGATAGGAGAAACGATATTACATAAGATGTCACTATAATTCTCTTTGAATCTAACAAATATATTTTTATTTCTTAATGATTTGCATAACTGTTATTTCTAAATAATACATTTTCTTGCGTAAATTGAAAAGGAAAATGAATTCATAAAAGAGGAAACATTTGTTGCTCAGTTCAGGCTGGTGAATTTACAGGAGAGAAGCCTACTTGGCACTTTTCGATTTCCACATTTCCAAAACTAGTAGCAGCCGCACCTTTTTGCAGTTGAGCTAAGAACAGGAATAAATCAGTTTAATTCCTTTATTCAATTAATTTCGCCGGAATTCAAACAGCATAAAGAAGAACCGTTTAGCATTCCTCTCAGTTAACTCTGCCGAATGCGACAATGAAGAAACCTATTTGACACTATTTACTTTCACTTTTATTATATAATGTAGTATCCGTCACGTCCAGCTGATGAAAGATTAGCATAAATAAAACAGATGCATTCCTAGTACTATTTTCGACGACAGGTTTACGTTTCAATCAATTTCCCAATTCCTACATCAGCCAAAAAGCTACATCTAAATACCAAGCCGACAAGAAAGTTCTGTACTTTCTGTTGACGATATTGATCATTTGAGAACTCATGGCACAGTGGGTAAAGGCGTTAGTTAGATCCAGTGACAGGATCCAAAAGAGCGCGTGTTCAATACCCGGTTAAGACAGTGGAGAACTTTCAGAGGGGAATTAACAAAAGATAACTGACATCCATTACACATGGCGCGTGGAACTAGAACAGTCTACCCCAGTGAGCGAAATAAAGAGTTCAGTTCGACATTCCAACCACCTGAAGAGGGCCAGAGCGTACAATGGCTGAAACACTGTGATAAACATGGCGACAAAGATGAGGACAATAGTCCGTATAATGTAAACAGTGTACATAATACTTCATATCAGAAATATAGACAGATTTTTTTAGTAGGGAAATATTTTGAAATTTGAAATTAGTATTAGAGATATGTTTACTCTGATTGAATGGTTGATGAAACAGTCATTCTATTTTCAACTATTTGTTCAGGATTATGCCAGAAAATATCACGACCAAATGAAGAAACATTAGACATGTTTTTGTTTTTTTTTATCTTTTCATGGAGATTAAATCAATTGTATGTCCTGTCTTAGAAGCAATGCGTTATCTTGTTCTATGTAACATGCCCTTTCTGCAAGGAAGCGATTGTTGTTTCGCTCAACTTCATTTTTCTTTTTCTTGTTTCATTAAAAGACGTTTTATGCTTCCTTTTCCTGTTCATTTTTCGACTGTCAACATTTAATTATATTCACCAAAAAGGGATTTCTAGTTGGGACATGAAATTAACTCAATAAACTCAACCGGAAACGACCAAAATCTTTTAGAACCCTCCTTCTTATATATATATATATATATATATATATATATATATATATATATATATATATTATTTAATTTAAAGAAAAACAGACAACTTTAAGGCTCTATTTGTAATAATTTATTTCACCAGAGAATTTTATTTTTCTTTGGATCTTCAGACTTCACTTTCAAAAGGTGAAGCGAAAAATAAATTTAAAATTTACACTTTTGACGCTCAGTATTATGCTTATATAAATTGACATAGAGTGTGGTGAGGAATAGTGTGAGAGACATGCTCGAATTTAGAGAGGGAAGGGAGAGTTTTTAAAATTAATTTTTATATTTCTTTTTATTATAATACTTAATATTGAGGAAGGAGTGGTTAAGGATCAGTCTGTGATTTATATACTCAATAGAAATGATAGTGTGATGGGTAAATTGTCGCCATTTCATGTCTTTAATTTTGGACATGCGCCTTGTTTATTTTTTTATCTTGTTGACTGCATAGTATAATAGTGTCAGTTGGCCTCTTTCTCTGAGAAAAAGAGCAGCATGAGACAATTCACTCCGCTTGAAATTTGAAAACGGTATATTATACTGCTGGGCATTTGCGTCGAAAGCTGCAATATGAACATTTCAGAGTGTTTAATTGTCAATCTGGGGACAGTGCAGAGGATTAGGAAAAGGTTGGATGATCCTTATGGGGATTACGAATGTATTGCAGCACGGAAAACTCACTTTGATCATTAATTTGTCGGCGGCCTACATCAGGTTTCTTGAGTCGGCAGTGCTGACCTGGTTTAAGAGGGTGGCTGCTGGAAGACCCTATATCTACCAACACAAACGAGACAACCCAATCATGGCAGTCAGATATGAACATTTACATGCGGCCATCAAAATCCCCAGTCTACAAATATCTTGATTATTATGTGTAGGGCGCATCTGATCGAAAGAAAAAAAACTCCTTGTAACACCAAAGACAAACTGAATGCAATGAATAAGGTAGCATTTACCAACATAAAGAAGGAGGCCGCCCAGAAGAGTTGCAGAAGATTCCCAAGTCGTCTGGAGTCCGTGGTTGAAGCCCATGGAGTTTTAATTGTTTAAAGTTACTCTTACATTTTATAAATTATTTAAATACTAATATTTAAAAATATGTTTGTGCAATTTTTGTTAAAATGAAATATCAGTGTTATATTCATTTTTGCCTAATTTAGTCGACAATTTATCTATCGCACCCTGTATATACGTTTGATGTTCGTATCACTCGCTTATACCTCATAACGAGTGATGTTTGGACCTTGTATTGGATAAAGCTTAGTAAAGATAATAAAAAAAATACGTGTTCAGATTAGCACAAATGTCTATGTCAAACATCAATCCTGCCATTCATGCTCGCATTTATATTCGTGTAAACCATTCACCATATATAAATAAATATTTGCATCAATTTGTTTTAACTGCATAGACATGATATCGCTGGACAACTCACAGCCTTTATGACTCAAAAACGTTTGTTTTCATCAGAGCATGTTAACCCTAAGCTATTTTAAAATGGTTCCTATTTCCCTGCCAATTTACGATATGTATTTGCTCATTTTCTTCCAACAGTAACGCCTGAACACAGAAATTCATTTACTTCTCCGTGAGAAATAAAATTGGTACATGCATCCAAAACGGACACACCCTGCATTTACGTATATTTAGATTTAATACCTCAAGTAGGATTCATATATACGATGAAGATGATGGAAAAAAAAGATGAGTTCTCTCTACGGCTTCAGTCATTACTTGACTCCGCCTGTGCTACATAGGAATTAAGTGTTGCTGCCGACATTTGAGTTTGAACATAGATCGCCAGTGAGCAAACACATGCGATCCCATTATTGAATTAAGTAGACCACGTGACCATAGATGGAAATGCATGTACCTAGGAAGTAGCTGACAAATAACGATCGTTATTTCTATTCTATCCACTATTAATATTTGGATCGTTATTTCTAGTATATCCTCTATAGTATACAGACCGCTATTACCTACTCTATACACTATATTATTCCTCTATTCAGATCACTATTCAGGTTACTTGTCGAGCGAGTATTCTCGAGTAAGTACTATTACTGCGAGTGCTATTCGAAGGCGTCTGACACCAGTATTGTTCAACGGCGTTACTATAGTTGTATCTGCGATTACAAAGTCTCTCCTAGAACGAGAATTATGAAAATGACAACGAGTATTCGTTGACATCACAAAAGTTGCAACGAGTGTCCGTTGACGTCACAAAATCCTGCAAACGTGTTTCTTTACTAGATAAGGGCGAAAATGGAATAATATTGCCATAACAGAATCGCAGCTGATTAGTCTTCACAGTCGAGACATAATGAAGTACAAATACGTCTACACGGACTTGCGGGTGATGAATTATTCTCTACCCTACAATCTCTTTCCCACGAAACCTTGCAAGGCTTTCAGTCTATCGCTATGCTCGTGGTAACGTTGTGACATGACACAATCCTTGATTCCACAAGCAGCTAAGACCCACCACACGACATACACGGAGACGAAAATTCCCTTCGTATTTGGTAAAAAAGTGTAAGTTGAAAAATTCCCATTGTCATGACTTTTACAGAGAGCACCTGTATTTGGTGGAGAAGAGGAAGTTGAAAAATTCCGACCGGCATGAATATTCCGGACAGCACATATATTTTGTATAAAATTGCAAGCTGAAAAATCATCACCTATGTTATTATTCCAGACGGCATTTTTATTTGGTACAAAAAGGTAAGTTGAAAATTTCCCACGGTATAGTTAATCCAGACAGTACTTGTATTTGTTGCAAAAGCTTAAGCTGAAAAATTCCTGTGGTAATTCCTGTGTAGCGAAGAAACCATATTTTAAATAAGTTATTTTATAATAATTAGTTTCTTGTAATGTTTAGAACTGGAATTACTATTATCAAAGTATATGTGCTGAAATTTCACAATAAAACGCATATGTTTTAATGCTTAGAAAGAAACACAAATTCAGTGAGTTCATATAATTGCAAGTATCTGCTTCGTGTTTTTGCCAAAACTGCGTACATCATATACAGGTTTTTGGTTTGTGAATTCCTATATTGACGTCATTTCATTGACTGACATTTATTGAAACAAATGAAACAATAAATCTGTGTAAGAATATCGACATTTATCGAATCGAAGTAAGAAAATTGGAATTGAGGAGAAGTGAAGGAAAACGAAATTCAAAATCTGCAGCAGCTGGAGGCCAACTTTTCTGACATTTTCTGGTTAGAGGAGGAAGCAAGGTGACATGATACCCAATGCTGTTAAATAGAATCTACAGGAAGAAATCCTACGTAATTTTAAACATAATTATAAAACAACAAAAATAACCACAAAAAAAATGGCGTGAATTTAAATTTAAAACCTCTCGCGGACCTTGTTGCAACAATATGAATCTACTGAACCTTCGCAAAAATCGACGCTAGTCTAAAATAGCATAACTAGTTGATTCATTTTTTTTTTTTTAATATTTGTATGAAAATGAATTTAAGGTTTAGGATAAAAGAATGCTGATTTATTACGCGAGTATCACATGTGGCACAAGACCTAAATTACTACGCCGCAGTAATTTATATTACAAAAAAAGCTTGCTAATCATTATACAACGACATATTGATCTAGACGATTTTCTAAACATGCCTAAAAGTGTCAAAAGGCAGAAAGTGAGGAAGACCTAGTGGGAATCGAAGTGATTACCCACTTGTAAGTGATGTAGCGAGACAAGCTTTCTAACCTTGTCGAAGTGCCCGAAAAATCGAACAACTTTATTTCCTTGAGAAAAATAATAATAATGATGTAATAACAGTAGACGAAAGTATGGGGCAGGCGGAGAGTCTTGAACTCACCATTCAGTCGAAATTGATCCATTGAGACAAGTTTGTTAAACATTACATCACGTCAAAGTGTCCAAAAATGACTTCTAAGCGTACAAAATCCAGAGACGAATACGCAATATGATTGGTCCTGATCTCATATCTCGTCTACAGTCACTTTCTCACAGACGTGCCGTCGCTTCCCTTTGTCTTTTCTACAAATACTTTCACGGTAACTACTCCGACTAGCTACTTTCTCTGTTTCCCAAACTGCATGAATTTAAGCGGGCGACTAGTTTGGCATCTCTGTCCCACCGTTTCACTGTCGAAACAATTAAATGTAACCGTCTCTTCTACTCCAACAGCTTCTTATCTCGCACTTCCCGACAGTGAAACTTCCTTCCTCTTACTTGCTTCTCTCATAGTATAATCTTCAACTATTCAAATGCAATTTCAATAAAAACTTACAGATTATTTGATTTAATTCCCCGTCCTTCTCTTCATCATTTCCTCTATTACGCCTATTTACTCTTGATCACACTCTCTGTAACCCCTTTCGTGATAGTAGAACTACAACCTTGCTTGGCGGGGGGGATGCTAAAAATAATAAAATAATTAAAGTTACCGCAAGATATAGAAGTAAATATATTTCAAACATGTTAATTCGATGGTCAATGAGGCTTGCGTTTTATGTAAATTAACGTAATCTGATCTCATCAATATTTTAGTCAATTAGGCTTATACTATTTTCGCAGTCGGTATTTATGTCCAGGAGAGTGTGCTTTGTAAATGGTGGCCCAGGCTAAAAATGATAGAAAGAGATGACGTAAAAATTTAGATATAAAATATATACAACGGTTTATCGATCTTTTCAACTGGATAATTTATACTTGATTATTCGATGATAAAATAATTAATCTTTATCCGTTAAGGTGACTGGATATTAAAATATTCGTATTCTAATAAAGAAAATTTTACTTTTTGTAAACCTGCTCGATAGAAAATGCAACTCATCACAACATGGTAGGAGTTATAAAAAGTTGAAGATATTTCAATGTTACATATCACATAAGGATTTGTTGGCTTCCAATCAATAGAAATGAGAATTTTGGATAAACATGGAACGGAAAACCTTCATAGAAATTCTCACACTCTACATATATATATATATATATATATATACATATATATAAAGTTACAAAGTTGTAATAGTGAGAAACAATGACACAAAAGTTTTGAAATAATGTATTGAGCCCTAATAATAATGATGCAAATAATTCACAAAAAAAAACAGTCCAATGTATAGTTTAATTCATTGGTTAATTTTATTTTGTATGTAAAATGAGGAAAAATAAATAATTAATAAAATGCAAATGTGGCAATAAAATTAAAAGAATTACATTATGTAGAAAATAGTGACAGAACGAGTGCAATGTTGTCCATTTCTAGTCTTATATATATATATATATATATATATATATATATATATATATATATATATATATATATATATATATATATATATATATATATATGTATATATATTACTTTAAAAATGACATCAGTTGAATCCGTTTCCTTGGTTTCAATTTTTGGTATCTAAAGGCGATTTTTATAAAATTACCTCTTAATGCTTATTTAAAAAAGAAAAGAAACTAACGATCGCAATACTATTGAAGAAGAAGAAGAAGAAGAAGAAGAAGAAGAAGAAGAAGAAGAAGAAGAAGAAGAAGAAGAAGAAGAAGAAGAAGAAGAAAAAGAAGAATTCCTGATATGTAAGCAAGGAATCAAGACTTCATATTACGAATTGTATATTGTGTGTGTGTATGTGTGGTGTGTGTGTTTGTGTGTGTTGTTTGTGCGCGCGATCGAAAAGTATGTGTGTCTCTATCCACGTTTTCACACATGTGTATATATATATATATATATATATATATATATATATATATATATATATATATATATACACAGAGAAAACATACACAATAACTTAACTAGACATGCGCGCACACACACTCGCATATATGTATACACATAGATATATAGAGAAAGAGAGAAAGAGAGAGATAGAAAGATGAGAGAATTAGAAATTCAGACATATTAATTGACCTAGAATATGAACAAGAATAGATAGTGAGATAGAGTGATGGATGCAGAGACAGACATACAAACAGACAGAGAAATTGAAAGTTATGAACTGTGACATACACACAAACACGCACACACACATATGGATATATATATATATATATATATATATATATATAAATTATATGTATATATATATATATATATATATTATATATATATATATATATATATATATATATATATATATATATATATATATATATATATAGTGAGAGAGAGAGAGAGAAAATGAAAGAGAGAGAGATAGGTTGATAGATACAGACAAACAAACAGAAAGACAGAGATATCGGATGTTAAATCATTTTTCAATTATGAACAGGATAGACATATACACCCCCCCACACATATATATATATATATATATATATATATATATATATATATATATAAAAAACAAAGAAATGGATAGATGGATAGATGTGAAATAATTGATTTGAAATGATTGAAATGAAAAAATATCTTAAAAATACATAAGAATATGTAAATATCACAGTAAAAATCATAAAATTTGAAATAAAATGTAAAACTTAAGAACAAAAAGACATTCCGTAATGTGGAAGGGCCTAATGAAGGAAGTTTTAGGGAAAGGAACGTAAGGATCTCTTGGGATTCTAGTCGGAAGTGCTAAATTTAATCTGTTTCCGGGAAAACCTCCCTTTGAAGGGTAATTTTTATATTAATGTCGAACCTTTTAACTCTAATGGTATTTTTAGGCATTAAAATAAAACAAAATCATTTAAAATATAACAAGCAAATATAAATTTAAACAACTTAAATATGATTGTTTTATAACGAACCAATTGCTAATATTCCTGGAATCCATTTTAAACATCGATTTATTAATGTATTAAAATCGGAAAGGGCCTTGCAGAATCTCCTGCGGTTACATGTTTTCTTTCGATTGGAAAGCCAATAATTAGGAGGGTATTTTTAAAACTGCTAACTTCACTTCTGAAAATATTTGTTTAATATATTTTGTCGAGGGATCTAAACTTCATTTTCTCATTGTAAACAGGTTGTTGACAAATGCTGCGGAAGAAAATTAAATTTATACTTCCGCTTTGGTAATTCACGGGTGCATTTTTATCTCACGAGATCTTGATTCTTATATAATTTCTCAAATATTGCTTTCGAATGTTCAAATATAAAAAAAGTTCTACATCGGTTTTATCTCTTTGGGATTATATGGGTGGAAAAATATGTACGATTCATTTTGTCATGAAAATAGAATTTTTTATAGTATGATGGCTGAATTGACATTGCAGAAAGAGACCCCGGATGCTGACGTTCTCTTACACCCGGTCGCAGAATTGCGAAAGTACAACACTTTACAACTGTATTCACATTTTCAAGGAAAATATATTTAGTTTTAATAACTGCCACAACAGAAGGCAATCCCTTAAACATCATAGACGGAGAATGCAATGATGACGTTCGGTTGAGCGTTAAACCTGTCCCCAGAACGGCCGAGCGTATGTAACAAAGTATGCAATATTATGAAATGAATATGAAAGTATGATGTCGCTATTTTGATCTCACAGACAAACCTTTCTTTATTATTGGTACGTATAATGTCATTCGTGTATGAAATTAGAGAATGACGGTCTATTATAAATGATAAAGTCTTATAAGGTTCATTTTACTGCTTTTATATCCTGTTCCTTTTGGATAAACCTGATCATGGCCATCTCCGGAATAATTAACACTGTTTTCTCTAAATTGTCGTGGCTATGATAAGAAGTATAAGAAGGAAATCTACAAGCTTTGGACTTCAATTTTATCTTACTACAAATCTGTTAACATCCAAATTTCTACTCATGTCGGGAAAAAGGTGGGTTCATACGATTCTGCAATGTATGATACAAACGCAAAAGATTAGACGAAAATTTTGATCCAATATGCTGCGTCAGTAACCGATACGCTACCCGTATCTCCTTAAAGACGTAGGCGATCATTGTTCTCCACAGATTAATTTTGCAACGAATCGTATCATTCTTTTGAGAATGAAATAAAAGCCATTATTTACATGTAGAATATTATAATCCAAACTTCATTTACCAACATTTCTTTGTCCATTTCCTCCAGAAAATGATTATGTTCATGTCTCTCCCACGATTATTATTTCTTTATTAACTTATTTGTCTTAACTGTTATAGTAATTGACTGTATATGGACTTTATTGCAACCATCTATCTATCTATCTATCTATATATATATATATATATATATAATTATTTATTTAAATATTATAACATAAATATGTTATAAAATCACTACAAAAATAGCCATTTTAGTTTATAGTAATAGGAGCTAATATCCAAACAAAATGGCTATTTTTGTAGTGATTTTATAACATATTTATGTTATAATTTTTATATAAATAATTATAACTGCTCTACTTGTATTGAACACTCTTTTAAGAATAGTAATTCTTGGTTATTGGAATTTATACCGTATACACAATCATATACTTGGGTATATATATATATATATATATATATATATATATATATATATATATATATATATATATACTCATTTTTTCTTGATCTCTGAAAAAGCTTTAATAAAGTGAAACATGTTAGATTAAGATATGTTGCATATTGTTCGTTTACCGATTTGAAACGCTAGGAAACAAAATCCGTCGGACAGTTCAACCTTCAGATGGGGAGAGAAGAGATGGATACATGCCTTTTCCAAGAACATTCGTGCAAAAGTGATGCGACAGATTTGTCATATAACGTATCTATGAGCACTAATGTGTATGCTCCAATCCTCATTTATACGTTGGAAACTATTTGAATTAGGGCTAATATGCTGTCTACGAAGTCCACCACTAGAAGTGGTTTACCTCCTTCACGCCGCTTGCGAGTGTTGTATTTTGTTAATGTTTTAAAGATTACCATTTCATTTTCAATTCCATTTTGGTTATTCCTCGATCAGTAACCCTTCCTAGGTTACAAGAAGATTATGACTGAATAGGAATTCGGCTCGATGATAAGTGTTACACTATCAGCATTTATGGTACCATTGACATGGTTGATAATAAAAAGTCATAATTTAATAACATGAACAGTCAGCTCCGTTTGATATATTATAGGTTTACACTTATAATTATTAAGTTCGATGTAATCGATAATTATAAAAAAATAGCGATATGAGTTTGATATTCAGAGCAAATTTACTCTTTCGTGTAATAAGAACGTATTACTAACTTATATCTTGACACTTAGTTAAAATGTTGTCTGGAATAACCATGCCAGTGCGAATTCTCAACTTAAGAAATAAAAAAGAGTGTTTTTGTTTCCTTAAGGAAAATCGTGCCGACGAGGAAAATGTTTTTTGAATAAATGGTCTTCCTGTACTAAATAATCCCGTATCACGAGGTGGACATTGAAAGAAATGATTTAATCAAGCCTGCTTCTGTAGTTGTTAATACAAGCGTAATGATTCTCGGAACTTTGATATTTACCATTGTTCACGCATACAATTACAAGAATCTTAGATAAAGGCAAACGCACAACGGAAATGCATTGAAAAAACAAAAGAAAGAATTAGTGTTGATGTTAAAACATGCAAAATAAAAATGTTTGAAAAAATAACTTATGTTTGTTCTAAGTAACATTCAAATATACACACCTAAAGTTAACAGACATCGACACTGAGAATATTAACATTTTTTAGCTGTGCATTCATGAAAATTTTTAACCCTCCTGCCTTAGTTCATGGGTCAAAATTTTTCAAATAATTTGTATGAATTGTTTCACGGTAGATATAAAAATAGTTAAACCGGTGGCTGGGCATTGAGCCATTTCTCTCTACCACTGTTCAACCGCTGGTCATTTTTTCTCTATCGCTGGTAAAATGGAGGTCAGGGCTCAAAGGTTTAAGCATGCGCTATAGAGAACATACAGTAACGTCTGATGACCAAACCTGAGCTGAAAGAACCACAGTGAATTTATTTTCTTACTAAATTGTATTACACGCAAATTATACCTGAATGTAGAATTTCAATATCGAGATACTATGAAACTGCCTCAATCCTCCTTCAAAAAATATGATAAGTCACGCACAATTATGTATCGTCTGGCCATTTTTCATGTAAATTTTAAGGTTTTTATTAAATCTCAGATTTATTTAATATAACACTGTTCATTTATTTTTTGTCCGATTTTTTCTGCATATATAGAGTCAGTGAAAATACATATATATTCAAATTTCATTATAAAGCATTAGTAAATATCACTATATTTTTGTTATAACCTAGTGAATATTACTGAATAATATAATCAATTGAAGGTTCGTAATGAACAATAATACCTAGGACAAGAACAACACCTATAAGATTTGCCAGCGGCGCGTAGAAGTAGTAGTCAACTGCTAGGAGTCAAGTGAATTTCACAATGAATCTCCAATTGCAGGATATATAATAACCGCCCAAGGAACACGATAAGATTTGGCACAAGGCCGAATTTAATGTCAGGTATCCGAGCGCATATGCTCAGCCATAAATTCCCCGTAGACACCGTATAAAATGAGGTCGGGTAGTTGTTTCCCCGAGACGAGACTGTGCCCATCGACATCCCTCGTCTTGGCATCCTCTCTGCTGGGAGGTAG